AAAAAGTATGCTTTTTGATATAACCCGAGACTAAAAGCACTAAGTATTAGAAAAGTAATAAATTTTTAAAGGTGCCTATATTGGAAATCTCATCTCTTGGATTATTTAGATTACTTTCAGCTCACTGGAGGAAATGATGTATTCAGGATTTTTTTTTCCCTAATGAATCCAGAAAGATTCGAACCCAAGGGTCTCTAGGCTTGAGTGTACTTTAGAGAAATCACGAAGTCTGCATATCTATACCACATTTGTAGCTTGAATGGCATGCCATTAAACTGTTGGCAGGCTAGCTCCCCTTCTGGTACATATAAATCTTGCTTTTTTGTATATGAGAATTGGGCCCAGGGATTAATTTTTCTTCTTGACAGTTTATCTGAGGTTGTGATAGAGGAGATGTATGGAGGCAGGAACTACATGGCCAAATCAAAGGGTGGATGCAGATCCTAGCTTCTTTCCCTTTTGTGTCCTAGCACTCACTTGTAGCAATGTTTTCACAGAGACTTGCATTAAAAGGATGTGATCTTTGAGAAAGTTTGTGTTTGCATATGAGTACAAGCTATTCTAATGATTATGGATTGACTGCTCCTAAATAGAGCACCATAAAGTTATGTGGCCTAACTGTTTTTCAAGGAGACTGGTAACTAAATGTTTGTGTCTAAGATATCAAAACCAACACTTTTTCTTCCAGAGATCAGCATCAATACAGCTGATCACAGACCACTGGTGGTTCATGTCTGTGGTAATCAATGCTACAGGTAATTTTTCATTACTATCAAAGTTTGAATAACTTGAGCATAACAAGATTAAATAGTAGTTTCTGAGTAATTTGATGATGAAAGAAAACCCATTATTGAAAAAGTTTGTCCATGTGGAAGCATGTATCACCATCTGTTTCCCTTCATTTGCATTCAAAGGGCCTGGAGCTCTGCTGTTTAGATTACTCAGGGTATTGGCTAAATGGATGGAATGGGACATGTTATTTGCATATTGATTTGTTTTGTATGGAAATTATTTTGATGAGTTTTTACCTTATTAGATTGTGCCTTGTTATAGTGTGTATATGAATACAACAATCTCAGATTGGGGAACAATTTTGAAAAATGGAAATGCAAACACAAATAAATATTATTTAATTAATATGCATTGCATATTTAATTCATAAACTCTCATGAATTTAGATACTGAAAGTTACAAAAATACAACATTTGAGAACTTCTGGGTATCAGGTGTGAACAGGTATGCTGGTAGTCATTGGCTACCCTTAGCTCAGCTCAAAGGCGCCAGCTGAGGTCTTTTGGGCCTGCTAGCAGTGCTCTTTTTAGGCTGGGTGCTTAATTCTCATTCGGCATGCTCTGTATTCTTGCTTAAGAAATTTTAAACTTTTACTTAAAGAAGTAACCCTCATGCAGGGTCGTACATAAATGACTCCAAAAGTCTATGAAGGGTAGTGTATTGGTTGTAATAACAGGGGATCAGATTTGATTAACAAGCTGTTCTCCCGATTTCTTGTATGTGAATAAACTACTCAGTAGCAGCTTAATCTTGAAAGTAATTACCTTACATATATAAATATATATCACACTGTTGGCATTCCAGAGGTAAATGCATTAGTGCCTGGAGCCTGCCTTGTTTAGCTACATAAGTCTTTCCACATAAAACCAATGGGTGCTTGTTTCAGTGAACATTGACTCAAACATCCTGGGGATTTAAAGAGCATATCCACAGCTATTTTTGTCCTTAGACACAGTTGTCAGGGGGACCATCTAATGGTGTCATGTCCAAGGCACAACCATTCTGGCTAATTAGCTATTAACCTGGCAGAAATCTCTCCTCAATGAAGTTTCAATACAGCTTTTCTTACTTTCAAGAAGTAAGTCTGATACAATTTCACAAGCAGTGTCCATTGCCTTGTTTGTAAGGCATTGTAAGAACTTTATTATCTTATAATGCTTCTATCAGTCATCAAAAGGTAGCCAACCAATTGCATTTAACTGTTTTACAGAATGTGGTAGTTGGTGACCAGTTTGTAACCAAGGAAGGGTCCAGATTTACCCAGTATTCCCTACGATTTTTATGTAAGCCAGGCTATAAGAACGGAGGAAAGGCCTTTGCTCTCTTTCCTTCCGGCGGCTTGGAGGTGCGGGTTCCCTGCTGTTGAGTCTGCCGTGTTGGGGAGCGAGGCCTGGTAAGGCCTTGTCGACCTTGGGAGGCGGAGGTTGCCGGGGATCGTTCCAGCGTGACTTTCCATTGTCCCAAGGAGAGTAGTAAGATAGTCTTTTGCTATTTCTTTTAGTTGCTAGATCTCAGGTTACTGATTGGGATATATATATTTTATTTTGGTTTTGTTCCTTTTCCCTTCCCCCTTCCCTTTCCCTTGTGAAACTGTATATATATTTCAATTGTATATAACTGTAATATAAGTGTAAATATATTTATATATATTGCTTTAGCTGTCTCTCTCTTGTTTTGGTTTTCTTGGTTGTTTTTTTCCTCTTCTCCCTGAGGTTTAGGGGGGGAGGACTTCTTGTGGTAAGGTCTGGAGACTTGGCAGGGAGCCAGCTTCAAACCATATCATAGAAGGACATCTCAGAAAAGCATCAGAAGATGAAAACTCTGCTGAAAAATTGTAGAAAAAAAATATTAATATTAAATAGATCCTTCTATTCTCCAGACTTCAAAATGATTTTGTCATCAATGTGAATCTTCAGCCTTTGTTAGTAGAACCTCCGCATTTCTATTGTTCTATTTTTTTAACATGTTAACTAATCTTGTAATTGCTCTAGAGTTCAGAAATATTTATTTTGTTTAACTTGCAGAGTGACTCTCAAGATCATAAAACTGCAAAGCTCAGAAATTTGCCAGATGGTCCAAACAGAGCAAATGCATTACTCCTGCACTTTTAGTAATTACCATTGAAATAGTGGGATTTGGAATGGATCTGAAATTACTTCTTTGGTTCCAGATCTCATAAAGAAAAAGAAAAAGATTCATTATTAATAAATCAGTATTTCAAGTATTGTACTCCATAACAACATACACTTTTAACATTGAGGATTTTTTGAGAGAGGATGATAAAGCTTGAAATCCTATTTTACAAACTGACCTGATCAAAATCCCAGAACCCATGCTCGTAACCTGTTAGAAATCCATCTCAGAACCTCACAGTCTGCCTCTCCAGACATTTATGGAAGTGTACTTACGTCTTCTAGGAGGCACTCAGGTACTTACTCCTGATGACAGGGGAACAAGAAGGGAGGAAATGCAGGAGAAGCAGCAGGTTTCTCTATCCAAAAGTTTTGGTGTTTGTGGTCTTTACACATGAACACACATGCAGGGGCCATTTTGGAAAGTGTTCAGGAATGGTATAAATACTTTTGGTGTCTACTCTATGAGTCTTTGAAGTCAATGGGAGCTTTTCCAGTGATTTCAAAGGCTTTAAATTACAGCTTTAAGTTAGTCCAGTAATGGAAGTTAGCTGCATCTTTAAAAGTTCAGAGATTTCTGCCAGTCCATCAGATGAGTTCTGGAGGTATGGTCCAGATGTTAATGCTTCTCACCTGTTTTTAAAACATTATTTGGGAATTTATATAATATCATCTCAGAAAAAAGAAGAGAAATTTATAGTGACCCAAAGTACAGAAATGGCTAATGTAAAGAACTAGTTTTTGCTCTCTTTACCTCAAAATGGCATTTCAGAATGTATTTTTAGTTTAAAATAAAGTATCCTGTACTGAAAAGCCATCTGATATGGTGGTCTGAAGCTATCAGAAAAAGACTGAAATTTAATTGCATCTTCAGCTCTGCCATGTCACTTCAAGGACATACCTGCATGATCAAAAACTAATGAAATGAAAAATTGCCAAAAGCTTTTAATGAATCAATGAATGAAGAGTCCAACTCTTCAATTCAGCATTTTTAAATAATTGTACAATGATAGTGATCAATAATACAGATAATTCAGTGTACAGGACAACCTGACTTTTGAAAGTTTTGTTTGAATGTGCAAAAAAATTTAGAACTAATGACTACTGTGAAATTCTGTAAATTACCTAGCACTTAGCTGCATGTAGCCTCAATGTATGCCTAATCTTTTAGAAAATAATTGAACCAGGCTCTCCCTAAACTTCACCTATCACAGCCACACCTGTACACTATAGCCTGCACTGGAGGCAACCTACTATGGATTTCCTCTAAATCAGCTTCCTCTTTTAACATAAAAATCAGATCAAACCTTGGAATTTATTTTATGATAATATCAGCTATGGGGTATGTGTACATACCCCTGTTCCTCAGATAATTTTTGTTTTCTGGCTATTATGGGGCAGTTTCATTGATCATGTGCCTGACTCATAACGGTACATTTGTATCAGTAGAAATATTTGGTAACCTACTTGAATCTCTCCCTGGGTCATCTAACAAATAGGAGCTTGAAGGCATAGATACTTGAGTAACAGAAATAGTCCTCAGACTTTTACTTTCAAAAAGTAACCTCTAAGGCAGTTGATAAAATTGCATCTTCCAGGTCTAAGGGCTCAAAATGTCAGTAAATAGAGATAGTGACAGCTTCTCACTGATTTGAGCACTATGCAATTTTGCTTATATATGTACTGCAAGTGTATAGTACTGGCACATTGAAATAAAACAACATTATGCTTCACATGGAAGTATGTAAGGACCATGAACAAACGAGGCTTGATGCGTTAGTTGGTATATGGTGGGAAGATCATAGGATAAGCAAAAACATTAGCTGCAGTACACTCATGGCTCAGATCACAGAGGAGCTATGATCTGTGACTCCTTGGGAGCCACCAGGCCACTCAGTGCACAGTGTAGGCACTCAACTTGTCTTGAGTGCAAAGTTGCTCAGGGATGAAAGTACCACAGCAGAATTTGTCCTGGTGCCCAGTTAAAGTCCTAGTCCATCCTACTTTCTAAATGAGTGCCCTATTTATCTGGGTGCTTGGAGGGTGGTGGTGTTAATTCTCTTTCAACCTGTGTTCTGAAGGAGTTAAATGAGCCAGACTGGCTTTTTGAAAAAAATATCTGTCCACATAAGGATTCTCATATGAGCAGTGCAAACATGTAAATTTGAAAAATATATATCACTCTGTATTGTTGTTCATGATACAGTGGCCTCATGGCTAAATGCTTTAGTACTGCTGTTCATCCAGAGGTATACAAATTTCCCCTCCCTTTTTGTTGTAAGAGGTGATGGTGTCCTCCCTCATTGTTAAAAAGCAGTATCATTGATTGAGGCAGAAGGGCTTCCTCCTTCTCTTCCTTTTTCCCCCTACTGTCTTCAATGAATATTTGTAGGAAGTGGGGTGCTTTGTTTGAGTGTTGAATCTGTAGGGTCTATTTCTTTGAGACCTTTAAGAGAAAGAGAAAAGTACAGTTAGCACATCTGCTTTGTGCTCCTTTATGGTAATACTATTGTCTCAATATCCTTCACTCACTAAAAACTAGTAGCTGCAAAAAGCTAATTTTGCCTTTCTTGTTGGAAATTGCTGCCAACATTTTATTTTTTTTTCTTAATATGATCATACTTGCTGCTTTATAGCCAAATAATATGTCTCTACTGAGCTGCATGCATGTGCATGGATGCATGTGCATATTTTAACTTCTTATTAATACCATATTAATACTCAGGTTTCTGAGTTCATACAATCTGATGAGAGTCACAGGTCAAGCTTCTGCTAACTTCCCCTCAGGAGTTATACACCAGGAGTTTCAAGAAGCAGCAGAAAGTGCAAGACTATTAATCACAGGGAGCAGGCAGACAGGTAGATATGCAACGTCTTCATTCTCACACCTGTATCCTGCAGTCAACAAAAATTGTTTGGTTGAATTAGGTAGTGATATCAAGACACCTGTCTTCTCTGTTTTGACATGGTTTCTGTAGGCTACATTGCAGTGTGTAGATTTCTGTTGGGAGATACTATGGAAAAACAAAGAACTATTGAAATTAAAGCAAAAGCAAGAGCCATCAGTACTTTAGGTTTCCCCTTCTTGCAAGACTGATTTTCATCCTCCTGACAGAAGGCCACCATACTTAGCGTCCCAAGGCTTTTTTGTCTCTTAGTCCATATTTTCCTACTCTTATAAGTCTGGTAACATAGAATTAATCTTCAGAAAAACTAGACTCTTTAAATGCAGTTGCAAATATATTCAGGATTATGGCTAGAGATAAGGATAAGAAATCTATTAGTTTCTCACTCTGAGCTTAGATACTGCTGGTACAGTAGATTCCAGCTCTTCCAAGACTGAAAATGAAGTTTCTTAGCCTGTGTGATAGAGGCAATATCAAATTGGCTGAAATAATCTGGCAAATCTCAACAAAGAGCCATATCCTTACAGCATCACTCCGGAGAGTAGAGCTTTTATGGGACAAATTCCACAGAAGACTTCAGGTATGAAGATACAGAAACTATTGGGCACCTGAAGAATACCAAAATTTTATATAAGAGAGTATCAAAATTTATCATCCATAATCTCTCTAGTAAGATGAGAAATATTTAACCATGTTTTAAGATTTTTCCCATCTGTTTTATTTTCCTATTCATCTTCTCAAATTGATTGTTACGCAGCTTTCACATGCATATTTGAGCTATGATTGTGTGCTCTCAGTCACAGAAAGTTTTGTACAGTAACCGGAAATTTTTTTTAAAATCTTGGAGCTTGCATTTGGAATTTGTGGCTGAGCACTTGAATTCATCCTGACTAGTGTCAGCCACTACTCTAGACACAGGACTCTTTAGAGCATTGCTCATCCCACCTGAGGTCTTCAGCTTTCACCAAATATGCCAAACTTGACCTGGGAAGTGTCCAAGCATGCAAGTTAGACTGGTGTTATAAATCTGGAACCTGGTGATATTTTGGATCTCTGGATGATGTCATCATTATCAAGGATTTTTGCTGAAGCACATTCTGTTTGCTTGAAGAAGCCCTGTGTCATTGGTTCTATTAAATGATTGAATTTCTAAAGGCTTAAAAGTCCCTGATAAGGAAAGCTTCATACAAAGCAAAATTTTGTCTTAGCACCTGACCTTGTTTTAAAATTGCAAAGGACCATGGCAGTGCATGATAGTTTAAGTACAGGGAGGACCTGACAAAAAAAAGACAGAATACTGATCATTGAGAAATTTAATTATTCTGACATTTCCTCTGAAAGCACTAATGGGATTAGTAATGCAGAATATATATTTTTCCATAGCTGATAAAACAAAGCAATTAGGTAAAATAGAATCATCAAGGGAGGGTGTTAGGGGACCTTTTTATTACAAGAATGAAGAGTGAAATGCTCACGTCTCTCTAATAGTAGTGGCAGATACTACGTCTATTATTTCTCTTGCACATTATTTCAGAATAATGTACCCCAAGGTGTTTTGTTCTGCCTGATTTTCATTTAAGTGGTTCTTGCAAATTATGGTATAGCTTCAAAATGACCTTAGCAAATCCTTTGAGAATAACTATTTTAGCACAGTGCAAAAAAGACCTCCTCTAATGTCCTATGCTTCACGTTTGATTAAAAGAATGCATCCTCATCAATTTAAATAATGTGACTTGTATAAAATGAAAGAGATCAGTGACTTAACTGATTTTTTTCTGGTCCAAATATTTTTCATAGAAAGCTAAGTTTTCACAGAACCAGAATCATCATATATTAGTCTCATAAATCTCCTTTGGACAATTTTCTGATGTTCAGTTCAATGACTACAGGGATCTTAGAGTACCTGCTAGGATTATTTTTTCCATCTATGTGGCATTGTAAAATTATTTCCACGGTGTAAATATCAATATTTTATTATACCTTATCTATCAAAAAGCCATCACTTTGACCTCTACAGACTACTTTAAATGTAATCATGTTAGATAGTGACACTGACCCCAGTTTATTCTGCATATGAGTGGGTGTCACCTTGCATAGGCAGTCTAAAGAGATACTTTATTCGGTGTTCATTATCCTGTCATTGGTTATTCTAAATGCTTGTGCTTTATACTACTATTCTTAGATAATCAAACACTTCCTAATTGTTGTGCAGACTGTCCTGTCCCAAGTTTTTTTCGTAAATTGGCCTCTCAAAGCTTGCTAACCCCTTTAATTATTTCTTTTCACGCTCCCAACACCAAGAGCACATTTCTGAAAACAATATACTCTGAGTTATGTACATCACCCCAGTGCAGGAGCATGTTAAGTCAAGTCTTGGTTCTGCAACTCTGCTTAGACAAGCTCAAACCAGCCTGTACATATTTGGCCAAGTTTGTAAGGCATCACATTAAACTTTGTGGTATTTCTTTGTTATAATGTACTTGAAAAGACAATTTTTTTAACTGCATTATATTAATTTCCATACTTTAGATCATATTGCATTTTCACAGGAAGCCCACTGAGTATGTTGTCAATTGGAATGCTGAAGTCAGCAAATGAGGAGGAAAGAGGTGTGCCTCTGCAAGTATTCAGTAGAGTCGTGACTTTAGCCCCCTCTCTGACTGTCAATAAGACAAAGAACTGTTTGTTGCAGCAGCTGGTATTTTTTGCAAGGAATGTGTTCAGCTTTCAGTTCTGCTCATCTCTCCAAAATGATCAATGCTGTACTGAGAACGACTTGTCTCCTAGGCAGCAGTGAGTGTAGCAGTGAAAAGTATATGGGAAAAGAGGAGAGAGGGAGAACGACAATGTAGGGGAGCATTGGTGGTCTAAATCCCACTGTGTTGGTTTACAGAAAAGATACATAATCTTTGGTGGGAGAGGTGGAGGTGAGAGTTGGGCGTAAATAATCAAAATTCTTGAAAGGGATAAAATAGGAAAAGGCAGAAAAGATGGGCAGGGTTTACAGCATGGTTAGGAAAAAGAAAATGAAAAAATGGTAGTGTGATATAGGCAGCTAAAAAAATAGAGGAACATCTGAGAGGTGAGTGAGTGAGAGGTGGGAATAGTGCAAACAGCCTCTGCTTGGAGCAGCACAAAGAGGACATGCAGGTGGTAACAAAAAATTCCAGATACATCCTCAGAGACAGAGGCAGCTGGAGACAATGTACAGCACTCAAAGAAGAAAGTGAGTTTGGGAAGAAATTAGTGTGATTCAGAACAGAGGGATATAAGGAGTCCTTGAAGCCAGTAATTCTCTCAACCTCTAGAAGCCAAGTGTGTAGTCTTTTTACTCTGTGTCACTACCTTCGTATGCATCTCAGTCATGACAGCATTCTGATTCTGCTCTAGGAAAGAGTCTAAAAGGTAGTTTAGCTAAGAAAGGAAATATTCACTATTTTCTACGTCTTTACTGAATTATCTCTCATCTACACACCCATTCTTTTGAGGAATTTGATTCCTAAATCATGGAAGTGAATTGATAAACTTTTTGATGTAGAAGCACTTTGAGTTGAACTGTGATTCATTTATTTCTCACAAAAGCCAAATAAAGGCTGATAGTTGACCCAGTACTTTCCAATGAATTTGATTAATTCACACTGGAAATCAGTCACCGAAATTCCCAAAGGTACTTTTACTTTGTAGGAAAATGAAAATGAAAAGATTTGTGAGTGTGCTCAAAGGACGATGTTGTAATTGACATTTGTGAAAAGCATAGGTTTCTTCACTTTGTACTTCTCCATCTGAGCATCTGGAGAAAATAATGAGAACAAGTATTTCAGTCCTTTTGCACTGAATTATGAAACAGTTTGTTTTGAGCTTTCTAGATTATGGAAATCCTGTGGAACCATGAAAGTGCAGGAGATATGCAAATTTCTGTTTCAGCTGTCAGCTCTGTTGTTTTGAGCATGGCCTCAGTTGAATTAACAGCAGTCACAGATCATCCAAGAGCTGACCAACCCTTCTATGCAGCAGTCTCAGAAGGCTGAAGGTGATGATATCGGTCTCTGTCTTTACTGACAAACCCCTTGTTCTCCTGCCACTCTAGTCTTTCTGGAATTCTTAATCCAACCTCAAGCATCATCATGTCATAACAGATATATCTTGAAAGGTGACCACAATGGTTTCTCCTGCATGATACATCCCTCTTGCCAACATGAGACAGTGTTTCTCTTACTCTACTCCCCTCCTCTGATCCATGAACTCACACTGAGCTTATGCCAGAGAATTTGCTGTGGCATTTTGGTGGAGTGATAGAGGAGAAAGCTACAAGAAACCTGGAGAAGAGATGCTGGCCTTCTCATTCCTCAAGTGCAGAAGAAATCTTAATTTGTGTGTTCCTCCTGCTGGTTGTGCTGATTCTGCAATAAACAAGAAAGCATTCAGGTTGATTACTTAAAGCCAAAGTCTTCCCATCTCAACAGATACAGTTCCACAAATACAACTTGACCACTACTGTAAAAAAGAAATAGTGTACTTGAGGGAAATAGCTTATGTTCATCTTACTGTAAGCCTCTTCGAAAAGTTAAAATGTTCACTCTGCCATGTCAGTTTTCAGTTGAAGCATTTTGAATGGTGGGAAAATATTTCTTTCAGTTGAGTTTTAGTTCAAGAAAGCATCCAACTGAACTTCAAAACTAAAATTTAGAGTCGGACTGAGAAAAAATACCAGACTTTTTTTCGTTAGTAGGAGTTGAGTGCAGCACCTGTCTTTCCCTCTGCGGTATGCTACACATCTCTCCAGATTTCTCTCTTCTTTAACTGAATAGATGAGTTTCCGCTAATTTCTCCCTGTAACAACTCACAGGTTTTCTATTTGGATCTTTTTTTATCTTCACACATTTTGGATATCTCTAGTTTCCTCTGTACTATTCCTCTGCTCTCAGAGGTATTTGCAGTTTCTGTCCATTTGTTTCAAGTGAATTTCATTAAGGTTTTTATTTGTTCTATTCCCCAAATCACTAAGGCTAACTTGCCATATTCCCAATGCATGTTTCGCCTTGCATTACTTTCCTGCCTTGCAAGTCCCTTTGCATAACAGGTTTTCAGTTATATGCCAGTGATCTTACAAAGACTGGATATAAATTAATTTTCAGACATGTTTTAAATGATAAAAAACCCAAACAGTTTTCATAGACATTTCCAGCTTTGCTACTATTTCTCTTAAAAAAATAATTAGGTTTGTTTGGAGACATTTCTTCTTTTTAAGGCTTCCTGCTTCCACCAATGACTCATATTTACCCTTTGGCCAGTCACTGGAGACCTTGAAAACAAAGACTGTGGTGTAAAACCAATTCTTGATTTCATTTTAAACAAACCAATATTCTCTCTCTCTCTGTATATGTATGTTTTTTTGCCTGAATCCATGATACCATCTGTGCTGACTCTGCTCCTGCTGACTGTGCTCCTGCAGCTGATAATGACCAATAGCAGTTGCCTTGGTTAGAAAACAAGAGCAAGGCCAATATGTAATGTTACTTTCCCATCACACCCTCTCAGCCTCCACCAAGCAACTTGTCAGGGACTTCCTAGGACAGAGCTGTCTTTGAATTTAGAAATCGCAGTAGGATTCTTCTGTCACAGCTTTGTCCAATTGCTTCTTCAACCCATACATGCAAAAAATCCTGTAGCTAGGAGTTTGAAAACATTAAGGATGTATTAAATGAGTGATATTTCAGACCAAATATCGGTACTCAAAGTAAACTGACAAGTCTTTTTCTTCAGTTTCTTGGGTGTTTTCTCTCTATCTTGGTCTTTTCCCCTGTAAAATAACTTTGTTTTATAATTTCTTCAAGGAGGTAAAAGCCCTGAGGAGAACCTAGTTGAAGAAAGCAATTCGGTCAGTTCATGAGGTTGAGACTGCCCAGAATTGAATAGGAGGTTGAAAAAATGTAACCCAGACAATTACCACTAGAGAATCTGTACATTCACTCTGTAATGTGGTCAAACAAACATACTATAGAAGAATAGATTAAGATATGAAACATGATTAAGCTGCAATGAGATATTTGCATAAATTTTCACTAGAATATGTTTGATTTATTTCTCTTAAGTGGACATTTAATGGACACAGCACTGAATCAATGACAAGTCATAAATTACTCATCTCAGGAGGTACACCACACTGGTCCAGGTTTGGAGACAGCCTGCTAGCCACAGAGCTACCTCCTGTCTCCTCCTGGGTTTGGTGGAAATAGTGTCTACTTAGAAACTTAAAAATATATTGCTACCTTTCCCCGTGAATCAAAATAAGTCATGGAGACCAGCTGCTGCTTCCTCACTTTCCACCTGTTCCAGTATGCATGCATGTCCTGATCAAACTTCAAGTCTGACCAACTCATGAAGGAGTTCTCCTTTATGCTCTCCAATCCCTGTGTTCACCAGGTTTTGGCATCATAGTCAATACTCCTATTAAAGTTTAAACCTCAGAGCACCGAACAGCCTCTTCTCATGTAACATTAGCTAGGACCTGTTCATATATTGAGTTTTTATCCTTTCTTCAAAGAATGATTAATCAGTTCACAGAAAACTACACCTGTTTGAAGAAGGAAATCTTTGCCTTGTATTCATGCAAATTATGAAATATTTTTCTATTGCCAATTCTGAGGTATTTTTGGATAGGTGGAATAAAGAAGGGAAGAATCATATGAGAAGTATAAAATAAATTTTAACAGGTGTGAGGATTTTACCTCACAAAAATCAATCAATCAATCAATCAATCAATCAATCAATCCGATCTCCAAGCTTCCCCACCTCCCCAGAATTTACCTCAACACGGAAGAGAAATTTTCAGGCAGGTACACCTCTACTATTGATTCCCCAGGGGGGACTTCCCTGGCACCACTCAGCTCTCAGCTTTAACTCAGGGCCTCCACGAACCTGGGGGGCGGGAAGGGCAGCTCAAACCAAGACAACAGTTTAAAAAATAAATGAAACTTTATCTACGATATTTGAGTTCCTCCTAAAAATATGTCTGGATGTAATTTCTAATTTCACTGGTTACAGGGACTTTGATCTAATCCATTTACTGGCTTATAGAAGAAGAAGACAGCAGCCTTGGGGTAACTCAAAGGTGCTGAAAGAGACACCACAGAATTGTCCTTTCAAATATTAAGTATTCATGGTCCTCTTAGATTAGTAATAAAGCAAATCTCCAATGTTGCACCTTTCCCAGCTTTAATTATCCACCTGACTATGCAGATTTTCTGAAAGAGAGAATCAGTTTCCTTTTGTGTGAGTACAAATTCTTTTCTAGTAATGAATGATGTCATGCTGTTAGTATTGTAAGTCCTTTACACGCTCTTTTAAATCATTTTACAGCACAAGAATCAAATCCTACACTGGGTTCTTTTGCTTGCATAACAAAACCAAAATTTTGATAACTATGTGTATTCATTATGTTATCCAGATGTACAGTTCTGTAAGAGTAATAGATTAACTAGAGGATGCAACTGAACCTAAACAATGAAAGGCACTGATACTTTCCCAAAGACAAAATTGCCATAGTATTAAGGGGCTGGAAAGCACCCATTATTTTGGGGGTGTATATAAAAGATAATATAAAAGTATAAAAGCTAGTAAAAACATTGATTTTATTATTGTTGTGATGTTTCTAAGGATTTAGAAATAGTAAACATCTATTTTACATTTTTTTCCAGCAAAACATGAAGGCTAAAGTTTCATAAATCAGTGACTGGATTTCCAAGGACAGTATACGAAGAACATGATCATAAGTTAACTGTAAAGTGAGTGAATGATAGAGATTAGAAACCATTTAAATTGATGGGCCACTTTATACAGAAAGTATATGGAGCAGCAAGAAATACTCAGAAATGCATGGGAAAAATAAGCAAATTTATTACTTTGCAAACATTTATTCAGTTCATGGAAAACCATCAAGGATAAGAAGATGGCTGAAGTATAACATACCACCATTATTTCAGAAAGCCTTGGGATACACCATAAAACTGCAAACAAGATATATGAGAAGCTACACTTATTTTTGGAAAGGTCTGCCTTTGAAGCCATCGAACTATGGGTGGTGAACTGCAGCAATATATTAAAAATCACTTGGTGTTCATTCTGTAAATCAAGTGGAAACGGAAATATGTTCTCTGTGACACAGTACTTACACTAAAGAAAAGGAATCCACTAAACAGACTTGTGTATTCAACAAGACATGAAGAACAAGAATTAGTTATCTTTCAATGCAGGACAATTAAAGGACCTGCAGTGTTCTGTTGGGTCCTGATGATTCCTTCTGATGTGAATATTACCTCCTTTCAGTCCTGCTGCATACATATAGAATGATAGCTTAGGAAAGGCTTGCAGAAATGAAGGGGTAGGAGGGGTGCAGGAAATGCCAATTTTCATTCTACCATGAGGAAGAGACTAAGAGAAGAGAAGTCACAGCTAAATAATTTAACTCTTTAATTTCCAGGTTCTATCTCCAGTGTATCCATCAGCATCACACTGTTTGCAATCCACATTTGCTAATGGCTTATGAACACAAGTCTCCCACTTCAGTTAAATTTTGTATAATATATCAAGGTAGAAATACCTCTAGGAGCTCTGAGAAGTAGGAACAGAGAGTACAACAAAAAAGTATAGTAAGTTTTGTTAGGAACACTGGATAGCTCTGAAATTACCTTCCAACTCAGGTGTTCATACATTTTGTTACATGTAAACTGAAATGCCCATAAAGGAGAGGCAGGAAAAACAACCTTGGGACATTTGGAACTGAGGACAGGGAAAAAAATCAGTGTGTTTTTTTTCCCCTTATGAATAATCAATATGATGGCTTTACTTGTAATATTCCTGTCACTTCAATTTCTGGAGTAAGAGCTTGAAATATTGTTTGAGAAGAGCAACAGCTTTTCGGTGAGGGGTATACTAATTTTTTACCCACCAAATCTGACAGCTTGGAGGGAAGTGCAAGAACTCAGGGAAGAACAAAATACTGAGCCAGGGCTCTGAAAAACATGGTGGCTGATCAATGTCTGCTGCTGGCAACATGGAACAAGCCTATGACAGAGACCCTGGGTATGGGTGAAATGCAAAAGGCTAGGCCATCTGGAGTCAGGATGGGAAGTTGAGGGAGTGCATGTGGGCACTGAACTGGAATGAGGTCCCAAGGACTTGAGTCTGGAGCATTCCTCATTTTATATTTTTATAGCTGATTGAGCCTACTTCAGTTGGCACACATCCCCACCAAACTTCACCTTCCTTTAAGACCTAGACAATGGATTCTAAAGACCCAACTTTTTAATGAGTTTTCCATTTGCTTTTCAGTGGTTTTATCTAAACCATGTTTCCTTGACTCATTGACGATAACATTCCTGTAAATGAACAACACGA